TAAGCAATCCTGAAAAAAACACGGGGGTGCTTAACTTTTTTCCAGGTGTATATATTCTTGTCTGACTTCTGTAAATATCTTTCACTTAACCAGTTTCTGTACAATACATTACAGTTTCACTTGTAATAGTGCCTTTCATTTCACCAGGTAGTAGTTTATGTACAATACATTACAGTTTCACTTGTGTCAGTGTCTTTCACCTTCCCAGGTAGTAGTTTATGTACAATACATTACAGTTTCACTTGTGTCAGTGTCTTCCACTTCCCAGGTAGTAGTTTATGTACAATACATTACAGTTTCACTTGTGTCAGTGTCTTTCACTTTACCAGGTAGTAATTTATGTACAATACATTACAGTTTCACTTGTGTCAGTGTCTTCCACTTTCCCAGGTAGTAGTTTATGTACAATTCATCACATTTTCACTTGTGTCAGTGTCTTTCATTTTATCAAGTAGTAGTTTATGTACAATGCATTAAAGTTTCTTTTGTATTAGTCTATAATTTATCAGTTGTTTAGATACACTTCTAATCACTTGTGTGAATATCTTTCAATTCATTAGATGGTAGTTTAATTAAAATATATTCAAGTTTCTCTTGGTATCAGTATTTTTAGTTCACCACACAGATATAGTGTGGTTAAAATACTATTATTATATATTTTTTTCTAATTCTGGAAAATCCTAAAAGACTAGATAAAGAATGTAATGTTTAAAAATGTAATAGTCCTAATATTAATGTCTTATGACATTGTAATAATTCTTCACCACCTTGTAATAGGTATACACACCATAACAATTCACCGGTTGGAAGTTAAATATGTTTTGGGTTAACTTGTTTCAGTTCTTTGATTGACCAGTAGATAGTTGATTTGTAATTTCATTTACATCACCAGCAAAACAACATTTATGTATCAAGATAATTTGTGTTTTCATTAAACACTTAGAATAATAGCTTTCCATTTATAGATAATGCATTTCTCACCATAGGCTCATCCGTATTCTTCTGAAACTGTACAAGTCTAACTCGAGTGATATTCTCCACTGGTGGTTCTCTCAGGGGTTCCATCTCTTGACTGCCATTCAGATACGGCATGATGGGGGGTGGTGTCACTCGGATGGCATCTTCACTGTATACTTCATGTGCTACAACGTCATGTGCTTGAAGTAGAGCCTAGTATAAATAAGCATGAAACAAGAGACATAAGATTTATTTTGTTTTAGAGAATAGCCCAGTAAACATCTCAGGTAAGTAAGGGCATGGAGGTTCTAGACATGCATCAGATTAAAACGTGAATGATCATGTATTCTGTTTATGTGTGACATATACAGATTATTTTGATTAAGTCAAATAATCTTCACGCTTACAAGATTTTTATGAAAATAAAAAATATTTATACACATACGAGATTACCATAGTAATAATCATATATAACATTTATATGCATCAAATTATCATGTTAATAAAAATAGTCTCACCATATAATGTGTGTGTATGTATATATATCATGTTAATAATCAAATAGTCTGAATATTTTTGATAAATATTGATAAATTTATATCAATTTATTATATTTATAATCAAGTAACCTCAACAAATAGCATGTATATCAGATTGCCATGTTAATAATCAAATGATTAAATTAATATCCACATAATATGAACATATACCAGATTAATATAATAGTAAACTAGCAATCAAAGAATCAGAATATTCTCTAGATTTATAAAAACTCAATAAGTCAACATTAAAATTTACCCAATACTTAACAAAAACAAAACATTATTAAAGGCACCAGGCCTTACCTACCAACTTCTACATGTTTCAGTATGTCACAAACTAACTATCATACAGAAGTAGACTGCACTGAAAAACCCTACTGTATTTTTTATCTACCAGTACAATGGCTTAAGTTCAACTTGTGATGAAAATGTTACACAATTAATGTATCTCTTAAAAACGTTACCTATATATGCAGAAATGATTCAAATCATTTGAACATGTCAGACAAATATTCTTTCTCTCAACCTTAGTAACTACAAGTTTAGTACACAGCGAAAACTTTAATTTCTTACACAACTTATTATAAGTTCTATAAGTGATGTTATCGTTAAATTCTCTATCAATGGTAACATGTTGAAAGAAATTTAATTCTTATCCTAACTTTTCTTTATAAGAACAAATATTTAAAGTTCTCTGTATATATGTTGTGAAAGACGACATTTTGAAGAATATGGATAACTTCATGTATTGGAGATTTTAGAATTTGAAAATATAAACAGGTTTTATAACTGATCAAAACATACTGTTACGTCTCCGTTCGTTCGTTAATTAATTTTCCGTAAATTCGTTCCAACGAAACTTTAG